AAAAAAAAAACGTATACTAATCTACGGGCATATACTTAAGAAGATTGCTTAGTTCATAGTTTATTGTTCATAAATAAACAGTTTAAAATGCACTATTAAAAAAAACTTTGGTTTATGTTAATAGAAACACGTTTATTATCCACTGATGCCACTAATGAGCCTAAATCTGAAATAAAATTACCCGAAAATGCGAAACTTCTAAATATTCGCATAGACATTGCTTACTAATTACAGTACGCACACATACTACTTCTGACTGGAAGAGGAAAAATTTATCACACCAATCATAATCAGAAAATGTTCCCCCTTTTAGTACTAAAAAAGATGCAATTTAATGTCCACTGCAATTAGCGTATTCCTATGATGATAAAAGTACTTAAGTATATATAAAAAAAAATTAAAAATTTAACATTTTGCTGCAGCAGCACACACAACTCGGCTACTCACCATGTGTCACCAAATTTGTTAGATAGATGAGGAACATCACTTTTCGATTTGTGTAGCGGTTGGGGAAGAAATTCAGCGCAATTAGTAGCAACTTAATGACCGTAATTATGAACATTTTAACAGCTGTGCGTCGATGCGATGCGGTAGCGAGAAATATTAGCCAAATAATTTAAATTTTTTTTGTTTTGTTTTTTTTTTTTGAATTTCGTGGTGTTTTATGCTTTAATCTGCCGCATACGGTTGGCTTATGTTAATTGATGGTTTTTGGGCCAGTGATTATGTTGATTTGATATGTGTTGAAGTGATTGATACTGGCTCGTGAACTGTTTTACATCGTCGTGTTCAATTACATTTTGTAGTGATTTTTTTTTGCTTTTTTACTTTCTTTCTTATTCTAATTACGACTGAATTCACTAGTACTTATTAAATGCTTCAGGATGATTGAACGAACGTTTTTTTGTATTCCACTACAAAAACTTTTATGTAGGATTAAAAACTTTAGTTGTAAATTATTTTATTAGATACTTTTATTAAATGCATTCTATTACCGTCATTATTTTCATACATTGAAAAGAAAATTAATACACTTATTATGTTTAATTCAAACTAACCAAATATATTGGTATGAATTTTTATTGAATTAAGTTCATCTCCATTTGTCGAAAAAACTCATACCAGTTTTAGTAATCTCTTTTATTTCACTTTTTTGTTTATACTACAAGCAAAATTACCAAACTCAATAAAAATTGTTTTGGCCAAATTTTCTTAGAATAGTGCTCACACACCTTTCGCTTTTAAATATCACGAAAAAAAATTATGTTGATATTTTTGCAGCTTTTTATAAGAAGTTTTAACCATTAAATGATTAATCATTAAATCAACAACAAGGCATAAAACTACCGCTTAATGAATATTTACGACGTTACTGGAAGACCGGTTAGGTAGGTTAATTTTGATATATAGCATTGACACATTAAGTTAAAACTTTAACAAATAAAATTTATCTCTGGAAAAATGATATGCATAAAAATATCGCAGAACTTTGAACAACATGGCACATGAACTCAAAATGAAAAGTACAACCAAGCAAATCATCTTCTCTCTGCAACCACCTAAACGATTTGAATAAGTCCAACAAAATATGCCAGTCTTTACATTTATATGCCAGCTGACGCCAGTAAGAAATACATACCAAGTCAAGCCAAATTTTTCTCTTCCTGACCTATCCTTCACGGAGGAAGCCTTCTTCCTCCTCTTCTGATCTTCCGTACTCCAAGGGCCAAACCATGTTTTCATTGTCAATGATTCAGTGCATGACGTGTAACTAGTGTGATGTGTTTTTTGTACTACATGAGATAAATTTACTTCTCAATTGCCAAATTCTTTATTCTTGATTTTAATACTTATTGGAAAGTATAACTCTAAATAATGACGTCGGCTGAGGAGAGAGCCCATTGAATGGTTGCTTGCTGATGAGCGATACTTTCTCCTGTCCTAGATCATCTACTACCGATAATTGTATACACAGTATAAGCTTGAAAAAGTCAAACAATAAAGGGTCGACCATTAGGTCTTAATTCTTATAGATGCTAACAGTCATATTAGTTTCACGGTAATATCAAACCTCCTTTTCGGGCTATCGAAAACGTTTTCTTAATAGGAAAAGGGGTGGTGGAGTAACCAGATCTAAAACCAAACTGATAATGCACAATCAGTATGCCTTTGATATATCCCGCTAAAGAACACGTCATACGCGAAGTTGAATAGGCTAGTCTCACAGCAGTTGGGTAATATGCGGGATACCATTTCTCGCTTAACACTTATATCCCAGGCATGCATCCATCCGACCATATTCTACATACTAGTTGACGAATGCTCCTTATCAACTCCTTTCAAATTACTATTCGCACCTCATCGCCTTGGAGGTCCGCCTTATCATTCTTTCTTTGACTTCAGTGCTGTTTCCATTCAACTGGTTGGAAAAATCTTGCCTTTATAATGAAAAATTTTTCTGGACGTCTGTCGCTAGGTCTGTGTGTAATTTTCCTTAGTTTTTCAACATTCTGTAAGTCTCCTAACTTTCTGGTAGAAAATTCGGACATTTTTGCCTGTCGTTTCGCATCTAAAATTCTTCACACACTCTTTTTATACCCGAGCGCACTTGTGCACAAGGGTATATTAATTTTGTTCACATAACGGTTGTTTGTAACAGCCAAAACGAATCGAGATAGATATAGACAAATGTATACATAAATGATCAGGATGAAAAAAGAAATCGATTAAGCCATGTCTGTCTGTCCGTCCGTCCGTCCGTCTGTCCGTCTGTCCGTCTGTCCGTCTGTCCGTGTACACGATAACTCGAGTAAAAATTGAGATATCTCAACGAAATTTGGTATGTAGGTTTCCCTTAATCCAAGGTAGGTTGCTATTGAAAATGGGCGAAATCGGACCGTAACCACGCCCACTTCCCATATAACGGTAATTTCCAGAAATACGAAAACTGCGATATTTTAGTAACTACTGAAGATAAAGCACTCAAAATTGGTATTTACAATAATTTTTTGACAAAAAACAAGAATATTATACATTTTTGGAAAATGGGCGTAGCCACGCCCACTTATGGTTACATGTGTATATCTTGGTAACCGCTGTACCAATTTCTACCAAACTTGGCACAGTTATCGGCCTTGGTACAGCATACAAAATCGCCGAAAATTTTTAAAATCGGACGATAACCACGCCCACATCCCATATAACGGTAATTTAGAGAAATACAAAATCTTCGATAAATCAGTAAATATTGAAGCTAATTTGTTCAAAATTGATGCTTGCAACAATTCTTTACCAAGAAATACGTTTGTGATAAATTTTTGGAAAATGGGCGTGGCACCGCCCACTTATGATCACATATATGTATCTCAGTAACCGTTCTACCAATTTGTACCAAACTCGGTGTGGTTATTGTGCTTGCCACATATAAGCAAACCGTTGAAAATTATTGAAATCGGACTAAAATAACGGCCGCTTCTCATATAACGGTAAATTTCAGAACTGCTTGAAACTTCAAAATCGAAATTTAAGGACTCTAATTTACTCAAAATTGATACGCCCCGGCTTACCATGTAGCCGTAGCTTTCGGTAAGGTGAAAAACATATATTTAATACGTGCGCCGGGTATTTAATGTTCGGCTCTGCCCGAACTTAGACTTTCTTACTTGTTTCTTTTGCTTTTCTTTTGTTATTACGGAAAATACATTGCGTTTTCATATTCAGTTTTTTATATCAATCCCATCCGACCGTAGCATGGAGGGCTTATGTAAAGTCATTCGTAACAGCCAAGAATATCATTGTTTTATTTAGAGTATTCAGCATATTGTTTTTAATTGTGGATATAATTCAGCAAAACTCAAAGAAAAATTACACGTAATTCATCTAGGTATAGATAAAAATTAGTTTCATACTGAGTCAACATTAACATCCAGATTATTTGCAAAACTATAACTAAATGGGGGAGCGAAGGCTATTATGGACCACATAAGGAAAAATTTCTGTACAAAAACGGAAATCTGTATTTTTGCTCACTTTTAAATGAATAACACAGCCCAAAAAAATTTAAAAAATTTTGGTGCACCAAGCGTACATTGAATTCATGTACAAAAATATATATTTCTCATGATTCCAGAAAATTATAAAAATAATAAAATATTACAAAATGATTAGCAGCAATAGCTGACACTACGAAAATACAAATAAGCCACAATACTCGCTGGTGTAATTTTTTTAATTTTGTACGTTTCAAAAAATAGATAATAAGCACTCAAAACCAAAAAACAAAATTTTTATAACAAAACCGTGTAATATGCAAATATAGGACTTGACACAAAACGCAATCCTTTCATCGGAAGCTGTCAAAATCCAATGCATACTATAATATATTTTTAAACACAATATTTGACTGAAATTTGTTTATACATTCATTGGTTTCCCTTCACAGAGTTCATTTGTGCTTGAATCGCTTTCTTAAATGACTCTCGCTTTTTTTTTAATTGGTGGTACCGATTAGCCGCTGAATCCACAATATCCTTCGTTCCGCTAATTGAAGGAAAAACAATGTTGTCACCATTAGGCTATTTCCATAAAAAA